GTTGAGGTTGGGGTGGTGGATGATGGCTTACTCTTACTGGAGTTGAGGTGGGGGTGGTGGATGATGGCTTACTCTTACTGGAGTTGAGGTTGAGGTTGGGATGGTGGATGATGGCTTACTCTTACTGGAGTTGAGGTTGAGGTTGGGATGGTGGATGACAGCCTCTTTGAGCTGTAGCAGCGGAGGTCTGTACACAAAGTCAGGCTGTAGGAGCTTAGCGTAGTAGCCCACGTAGCGACGCTGGCTCGGGATGGTCACACCCTGCAAAAATATCATCATTAATTTCAGGCAAACTTATTAATTAACAAAATCATCACCTTATAATCATCAATTTTTGCCTATGTCGGGCCCTGCAAATATCATCATTATTAACTCTTGGCAAAGTTTTTAATTAACAAGATCATCACCTTATCATCAATTTTTGCCTATGTCACGCCCTGTAAATATCATCATTATTAACTCCTGGCAAACTTTTTAATTAACAAGATCATCACCTTATAATCATCAATTTTTGGCTTATATCACGCCCTGCAAATATCATCATTAATTTCAGGCAACTTCATTAATTAACAAGATCATCATGTTATAATCATCAATTTTTTGCCTATGTCGCGCCCTGTAAATATCATCATCATTAACTCTTGGCAAAGTTTTTAATTAACAAGATCATCACCTTATTATCATCAATTTTTTGCCTATGTCATGCCCTGCAAATATATCGTTATTAATTTCAGGCAACCTTACTAATTAACAAGATCATCACCTTATCATCAATTTTTGGCTTATTTAACACCATTTTTATAAATATTTGGCTTATTTAAGACCATTTCTTATAGATATTTTTTAACACCATTTTTATATATATTTGGCTTATTTAAGACCATTTCTTATAGATATTTTTAACACCATTTTATATATATTTGGCTTATTTAACACCATTTCTAATATATATTTTTTAAACACCATTTTTATATATATTTGGCTTATTTAACACCATTTCTTATATATATTTTTTAAACACCATTTTTATATATATTTGGCTTATTTAACACCATTTCACATATATATATTTTTAATAGTATTTTTATAATTATTTGGCTCATTTAACACCCTTCCTTACATGTTTTTAACACCATGGTTAATGAATCCGTAAACAATTAATAAAGTTAATTGATGAAGATTCTCATATGAATGGAAAAGCCCCGTACACAACAGGCTTTGAATATTAACTGAAAATATAAGGAGGAAACAAATTTCGCTACCGATGAAGACTATGAGACCTAAAGAATTCGGTTTTCAACTAAAGAAATATCATTTCCAACTGTCATTACTTTCTTATAGTCGCGATTAAACATAATTTTTAAGGGGCATGGAAGACGACGAAAGAACAGCAGGGCTATAGGATGGAATTCTGGGACTGAACATTTAAACTTGGGCACAAGGTCCCAAGTTGGGCGCGATGTCCCAAGATTGGGCACGATGTCCCAAGTTGGGCACGATGTCCCAAGTTGGGCACGATGTCCCAAGTTGGGCACGATGTTCCAAGACACAATGTCCCAAGATTGGCACAATGTCCCAAGATTGGCACAATGACCCAAGTTGGGCACGATGTCCCAAGTTGGGCACAATGTCCCCACTTTTGTGCACCAGTTCCCTGCAGTGTCCCCACTTTTGTGCACCAGTTCCCTGCAGTGTACCCCTGTCTCTTATACACATCTAGATGTGTATAAGAGACAGACCCACTTTTGTGCACCAGTTCCCTGCAGTGTACCCACTTTTGTGCACCAGTTCCCTGCAGTGTCCCCACTATTGTGCACCAGTTACCTGCACAGTACCCACTTTTGTGCCCCAGTTCCCTGCAGAGTACCCACTTTTCTGTTCTTGGTTCTCTGGACGCCGTAGAACTCGAGGGCGACTGAAGCGTCGGTGATGACACGAGCGTGCAACAAGTAGCAGCAGATCATGACACCAGTCCGACCCTGTAGAACCAACATTTATCTTATTAATATCATGTAATAACTTATTATTAAAATACAAGTAGTACCTAAGACTCGCTCATCTCTCTGAGTGCTCTGCAGAGTATAACCCAGAGAACAATTACCTGGTTAGCAGAGTTTAACCCAGAGAACAAACAATTACCTTATTAATATTGTGTAACAACTTATTATTAAAGTACAAGTAGTATACCTAAGACTCGGTCATTCCTCTTAGTGCTGCAGAGTATAACCCACCTTGCCAGCCTTGCAGTGGACGACAGTGACATGTCTGCGGTCGGCTGTAGTATCTAAGACTCGCTCATTTCTTTGAGTATAACCTACCTTGCCAGCCTTGCAGTGGACGACAGCGACATGTCTGCGGTCGGCTGTAGTATCTAAGACTCGCTAATTTCATTGAGTATAACCCACCTTGCCAGCCTTGCAGTGGACGACAGCGACATGTCTGCGGTCGGCTTTGAGCCAGTGGTTGATATTGTGTAACAACTTATTATTAAGGTACAAGGATCAAGTCTCGGTCATTTCTCTCAGTGCTGTATAGTTTATCCCACCTTGCCAGCCTTGCAGTGGACGACAGCGACATGTCTGCGGTCGGCTTTGAGCCAGTGGTCGATGTCATCGCAGAGCGGCTTGATGGCCTCCAGGGCGGGCGGGTTGTGGTCATCGAAGGGGTAGTTGCGGACGCGCTCGTGGAATTTCTTTCCATCGTAACTCCGCTCCGAACACCTGTGACCAGACACAAGTTGTTAGGACATGTTATAAACACGTCAGATATACGTTATACACGCGTTATACACTGTTAGAAAAATTACCGTTAACGGTATTACCGGCGTTTCAGTGGCCGGTCGGGACGTGAAGAGAAACACCGTGTCGCCGTTTTTATTCTAATTTGACTCTTGAAATCCGTAAAACATGTGATAAAAACGGCGAAACAGTTTATTTTCACGGGGCGACCGGCCACTAGAATGCCAGTGGGACCGTTTTTTCGTCGTTTTTTCTAACAGTGTAGGTACGGCATTGATACATACAGACACGTCAGGGACACGTTATCAGTGCAGACACACGTTACGACGCAATTTCTTTTCGTCGTAGAACACCTGTGAAACTCGTCGTAGAACTCTGAACACCTGTGACAAGATACGAGTTGTTAGGACATGTTATAAACACGTCAGATATACGTTATACACGCGTTATAGGTACGACATTGACACATATAGACACGTCAAGGACACTATATAGGCGCGTCAGACGCACGTTGTAGACAATATAGACGGGTCACAGATACGTATATAAAAGCGTCTCCGACACGTTATGGACACGTCGAAGATACAAAAACGCGCTAAAGACAGAATAAATGTGTTATAGACAAGATATAGGCACGAATATAGACGCGTCAGAAACACGTTATAGACGCGTTATCGCCACGTTATAGACGCGTATAAATACATATACGCGCTAGAGACACGTAGCAACGTTACAGACACGCATTAAGACGCGCTAGAGACACGTAGTCACGTTACAGACACGTATAACGACGCGCCAGAGACACGTTGTAGCCACGTTACAGACACGTATAAAGACGCGCTAGAGACACGTTGTAGCCACGTTACAGACACGCATAAAGACGCGCCAGAGACACGTTGTAGCCACGTTACAGACACGCATTAAGACGCGCCAGAGACACGTTATATACGCGTCATAACACGTTATAGACGCGACGCAGGCACGTTATAGACGCGTCCTATACATAGTATAGACGTTATATACAGACCGTAATGTATAAGAGCTCAGACATGCAGAAGCAATACGATGGGTGGGAACAGCTATAAACTTGAATTAGAGTAACACAAGAATAATAAATAAATTAGACGCTCCTGCGACTGGGAAGTATCCTGGGATTGATGCACCTAGTTATAGCATGTGTCAGATATACGCTCGTATACCCCACGCGAACTGTCTAGATATTATACGAATATTATACCGCTTCATTTCTGTTTAGCATGGAGATTACATGAGAAAAATATAACTCAGTACTCACTGCAGTGAATGACAGAGAGCGCATTTTATCGTCGACAAAAACATGAAGTCATGGACGGACAGACAGACAGACAGACGGACGGACGGACGGACGGACGAGCACAATAGTGCATTTTTTCCATAAATGAGAAAATGCGCTAAAAAAGAGCCTATATAAACGGCCCTGCATTAACAACGTGCGTGGTCGATTTATTTTTCACGTATATTTGTGAAGGCAAAAATTATAAAAATAAAATTAATAAATTAATAAATTAAATAAATAAAATTATAAATATAAAAATATAGGTTCTACCAACACATCAGAAATATATTTTATTCTATGTTGTATGTTTAATTTTTAATTAAATGAAGGTGCTCAACATCTCAGATATTCGGCTAAAAAATTCAGCCACCGACAGCAGCGACAGGAAAGTAGATTTTTCATAAAACATGATTATAAATCAATAATTATTACACTAATTTTAATAACGTCAATACATAAATAATTTAAATTAATTAATTTTTAGCTCTACGTAATTGTTCTAATGTGTTCGATTCTTTATTTTTTCTTCTTGAGAAGTCGTTGTGTGAAATATATGAATTGATATTATTTGACTTTGATTTGTAAAAACTATTTAAGAGGTCTGATCCGACCAATGTTTCCTCTCACGAGTTCTCCCATGCGAATAGAATTTCTCTACCTTATTTTAGTGAATAATGAAGAGCGAATCATTTATATAGCATTTATACAACCGTATATATATATATATATACATATTATAGAGCCCACCTTTGACCATAGGTTCTAATATCAGCTTTTCTGTCGACATTTATTGGTCGGTACAGCGAAACTTCTCTTATTTATTTGGTGAATATTGATGATTTATTTGGTGAATATTGAAGATTTATTTGGTGAATATAGAAGATTTATTTTATTGAAGATTTATTTGGTGAATATTGAAGATTTATTTGGTGAATATTGAAGAATTATTTGGTGAATATTGAACATTTATTTGGTGAATATTGAAAATTTATTTGTAAAATATTGAAGATTTATTTGGTGAATATTGAAGAATTATTTGGCGAATATTGAGCATAGAATTAATTCTATAGTTACGTAAAGCCCGTCTTTTGACCACAGGCTCCATATCATCTTTTCTACCGACATTCATATCAAACACCCAAGAAGAACGGATCGTAAAATAACGTAATCTAATTGGTTTTACTACGTTGGTCTACTCAAAACAAACCCAATATCCACTACATAATTTAATGCAATTTTAGTCCATGACGGTCTCATGTTAAATTGCCAGATAATTATGTCAACATCTATATTTGATCAGAGCAACAAACGCTGCAATCAGACAAATTGTTGGGTCATTTTGACCATAAAGTAAAATACTGTCACCACATAGCAGAGATAGGTACGTCTTTTTGATCGGGCTCAACTGAATCAGAATGAGACTATTAACATGCATCGCTATTAACATGTTGACTACGATTGCTTCATCTCGTACTATTATTTCATTTTTTTGTACTGTTTTTAAGCAGGGTTGCCAGACGGTCATTTTTTCCGGACAAATTCCGTGATTTAGTTTTTCTCAATTGCGTTCGCCGGCTAAAATTTATGATAGGGGTACTTCCTAATTAAATTTTAAATACTGCAAAAAGAAAATAAATGGAATTTTTTTATGGCGGAACCTACAAATGAACTAGTATACATTGAATTATCGGCCTTTTTTGGCCTTTTTTGTTCTCGGATTTGGCCGATTTTAGGCAACCTGAATTGTGTACCACTACGTCCTGGAGAAATACATTTCGTGGTACGCATATGTACCAATACGTAGTCAACGTGTTAAGACAAAATCTCACAGATTTCTCAAAGTGTATAGTACCAGAGTCGCACGGTAGGTATCGTTATTAGGACAAAATCTCACAGATTTCTCCAAGTGTGTTGTACCAGAGTCGCACGGTAGGTATCGTTATTTATAAATATCTGTCCTGAATTCACGGCCGCTTTCTAGAAACGATGCTCTAAACAATGCGCTATATTGAACAATGAAATGCATCTTTTCGATTCATTGCAAGCACCAATGTATTCTATTTATTAGTTATTTTATAATAAATAGCAAAGTGTATACATAGAAGATAATACCTGTAGGAAATATTTATTATACCTAAAGCGAATAATCAGTTCAATTCAAGGAATTTCGTACGTCTTTATACTCGCCACAAACACTCGGCACAAACACTCGTCACAAAACTCGACACAAACACTCGGCACAAAAACTCGTCACAAAACTCGACACAAACACTCGGCACAAACATTCGACACAAAAACTCGACACAAACACTCGACACTAACACTCGACACAAACACTCGACACAAACACTCGACACAAACACTCGACACAAACACTCGACACAAACACTCGACACAAACATTCGCCACAAACACTCGACACAAACACTCGACACCAACACTCGCCACAAACACTCGACACAAACACTCGCCACAAACACTCGTCACAAACACTCGACACAAACACTCACCACAAACACTCGACACTAACATTCCATAAATACACCTAAAAATAAATGCAAAAGGAAAGCCAAGCATTCCTGACCTCCACACTCAGAATACCTTAAATAGTCAACACTGGACAAATAGAATTAAAAATACACGCAAAAATGAATCAATTTTATCCTCACATTAGTGGTTAGTTAGTTTAGTGGCCATATGTTTACTAGCGCTCCAGCTATTTAGCTATCTCGCACCGGAAGTCAAGATGAACATAACCAACGAGGTGGAAGGTCTCAATTCTCATATTGCTTCTCCGTATTCAGAATAGCGTGAGAAATCAACAATCGACAAATATAATATGAAATACACGCGAAAAAATGATTTCTCACATTACTTCTCCGTATTCAGAATAGCGTAAGAAATCAACACTGGACAAATATAATATGAAATACACGCAAAAAAAGGATTTCTCACATTACTTCTCCGTATTCAGAATAACGTAAGAATACAACTCTGGATAAATATAATATGAAATACACGCAAAAAAAGGATTTCTCACATTATTCCTGCGCATTAAAAATAGCGTAAAAAGTCAACACTATACACATACAATTTTAAATACACGCAAAAAGAACGCAAGCAGTCAAAAAATTGCTTCTGCGCATTAAAAATACCGTAAGAAGTCAACACTGGAACACATACAATTTTAAATACAGGCAAAAAGAACGCAAGCAGTCCAGAAATTGCTTCTCGGCATTCAAAATAGCGTAAGAAGTAAACGACAAAGGCAATAAAGGAGGAAATGAGAGCGCTTATTCGTACCGTTTTTTTCGTACCGTTTCTTTCTTATTCGTATAGAAAAAAATAATTTCGTACCTTTTTTTCTTATTCGTACCGTTTTTTTCGTATATTTCGGTCTATGATTTTCGATTCGTACCGTTTTTTTCGTATATTTCGGTCTATGATTTTCGTACACGCAAAAAAAGGATTCCTCACATTACTTCTGCGCATTAAAAATAGCGTAAGAAGTCAACGACAAAGGCAATAAATTGCCGTAAGAAGTCAACGACAAAGCGAATAAAGGAAAAAATGAGAGAGCTTATTGGCGCCTCTCACGGTAACGGGCGGCCCAAAGGTCACGGGGTACGAGACGCAGCATGTGACCTAGCAACAGTGCCTCAGGTGC